CTTCCCTCTCCCTATCCAGCTCTCTCTTTACAAGAAATATCTGCAAAGTCATTTCTGCATTTCTAATCTGTTCATTAAAGGGCATATTTGTGACAGGCTGGGATATATCCACTGGGGACTGAAAACAATTTAGGATCCTAGGAAATGGTGAATTCTGCCTAGGTTTTTCAAAGTTGCTCTGTTGAGTTGCCCTTTAATGTAAAAGAGCAAAACTGTTTCAGAATTGTATTTTAACATTTCAGGACACCAAGAAGGCAAGAAGCCATAACACTGAGAAAAAGAAAAGAAAAGAAAAACGCCCTGTTCTCTTTCTGTCTCTGTGGAAGTTACCAGGAAAAAAAAAGTGTACTCTGGTTTTATTACTGCTTTATATCATGGGCACTCCCTGGTATCAAGCTTAGGGGAGGTGCTGGGGAAATTGTTCCATAAGCACAATGCCAAACACGCCACTCAACAAAGTCTAGTCTAGAGTGAAAAAACGTAAAGGCAACAATCCCAATGAACAAGCACTATTCTCTGGGTTTTCCAATCCAGATCTCTGAAACCTGCATCTATTGTTTAAGAGTATGATAATCAAATGTACATATACAGGGTGTCCCCCAAACTGTATATACTTTAACAGCTGATAGCTCAATTTTGAAAATGAAAGATATTTTAATAAGCACTGCCTTTATAACTGTTCAAAGTATGTGTATACATTTCTGGGGGGAATGTATACACTGTTTGATCCATTCAAGTACTAGGTTATTTATCCTACAGGTATACTTCCCATACAAGAAATACTATGTATAAAGCTATTCATTACAGTGTTTCTTGTGATCAGGAATAAAAGCTGTAAATAACCTTAAAAAGCATCAATGGAAGACAAGTTAAATTTTGGTTCATCCACACAATGGAATCCCATGAAACAGATAAAAAGAATGAAGTAGCACTCATACACTAAAAATGGAAAAATCCCTAGGATTAACTGAATAAATGGAAAGTATGCAGCCGTGTAAACAGTATGTTACCATTTATATAAAGAAAAGAACTACACAGAACTTAGAAGACAGAACCTACACAGAACCTAGAGACAGAAGAACTTTGCTGGAGAGAACATGGCAAAAGATCCTGGACAGAACCTGGCTACAGAACTTGGTTGGAGAACCTAGACAGAACCTGGCTGAAGAACCCGGCTACAGAACCTGGCGACCAAACCTGGCTGGAGAACCTAAACCGAACCTGGCTGGAGAACCTAGAATACAAGTCAATAGAGCTCAGAACACTCTGTAAATGTGGTTACTGTTCTAAGAATTCACAAAAATAAACACTGGAATTCTTCTGTGAAGAAAAAAAGAAAGAAAAAAAAAAAAGAAAAGAACAGAGCCCTGGCTGGTGTGGTTGAGTTGGCTGGGTGTCATTTATGTACCAAGAGGGAGATGGTTCGATTCCCGGTCAGGGCACATGCCCGAATTTCAGGCTCAATACCGGTCAGCAAGAGTCCAGGAAGCAGCCAATTGATATTCCGCTCTCACATGAACCTCTCTCTCTCTCTCTCTCTCTCTCTCTCTCTCTCTCAATAGACACACATCTATGTGTGTGATCCATAGCATAGCTATGGTAATATATGCAAGAATCAGTGCCTCTAAGACAGAGAACTGGGGGAAAAGGGATTGAGGAGGTAAAGAGGCCATAATTCTATTAATTGATTATCACAAGACTTACTATATAATTCCATGTAAAAACTAGAAGCCCAATGCATGAAAACTGTGCAAAAGTAAGCCTTCCTTCCCCCAGCTGCCGGCATTCGCTTCCCTCACAGCCCTGGCTTCGTCTGGAAGGTCATCCAGAAGGACATTGGTCCAATTAGCATATTATGCTTCATTATTATAGATAGTAACGAGTACACATAGTGCTTTGCCAGGCATATTCTAAGCACATTACATACTTACACTAATTCAACATGCTCCTTTTAAACTATACAAAATTCAGGTACCTGTCTTATTTCACTAAATTATCAATTACTTGAGAGCATCAACATGACTTAAGCATTTTTACATCCTACACAAATGACAGTACAATATTTTCACAATATTGCTCTCAATGAACAGCAAAAGGAAGCATCAACAAAATGAAAAGGGAGCCCACTGTATGGGAGAACATATTTGGATACATCTGATAAAGGTTTAATATACAAAATATATAAGGAACTCATACAACTTAACAAAAAGAAGACAAACAGTCCAATTAAAAAATGGGCAAAGGACCGAAATAGACACTTCTCCAAAGTGAACATACAGGTGTCCAAGAGACATATGAAAAAAATGCTCAAAGTGTCTAATCATCTGACAGATGCAAATCAACATGACAATGAGGTACCACCTCACACCTAGTGTCTCTTTTCTCCTTTCAGTTTCATTATCCCTTTTCCTACCTGATGGTCCCTGCCCCGAGCTCAGCCATCCTCTGGCTAGCCAGTTCAGCTCAGTGGATAGAGCGTCAGCCTGCGGACTGAAAGGTCCCAGGTTCGATTCCGGTCAAGGGCATGTACCTTGGTTGCGGGCACATCCCCAGTAAGGAGTGTGTAGGAGGCAGCTGATCAATGTTTCTCTCTCATTGATGTTTCTAAGTCTCTATCCCTCCCCTTTCCTCTCTGTAAAAAAATCAATAAAATATATACTAAAAATAAAAAAAGGGAGGATCTCTTATCCTTTGAGACAACACAGAGGGACCTGGAGAGTATTATGATAAGTGAAATAAGCCAGTCAGAGAAAGACAAGTATCACATGATCTCACTCATATGTGGAATCTAATGAAAAAATAAACTGTTGAACAAAATAGTTCCAGAGACATAGAAGCATGGAACAGACTGTTGAATCTCAGAGGGAAGGCAGGGGTGGGTGGGAAAAGATCAGCCAAAGAACTGATATAAGAACATATATGCAGCATATATGCATAACCTAGGAACACAGACAATAGGGTTGTGAAGGCCTGGGGTGAGGGACAGAGGCAAGCTATAAGGGGTCAATGGGAGAAAAAAAGAGACATATGTAACAATACTTTTAACAATAAAGATTTTAAAATAATAATAATAATGCTCTCAAGAAATATGTACCACATTCATTTATTCATGCAATATCAAATATAAGAGAAACTAGTTATCTTTAGCATTTAGAGCTGATTTAAAAGCCTAATGACCTTAATCTGTAATTATCTTTTTATAATTGTTTTGTTCCGCCATGAAGTCGAGCCAAAACTCAAAAATAAATGGCTTTGAAAATGTGCTATTATACATACGTACAATTGTAACTGTGCTGAATACATTGGGGAGTCAAACAAGTTACTGAAGAAAAGTTGTCCAGTTTTCCAACACACAGTCCTTTTTAAACTTTGAGTTCAGGAGAGTATCTAAGTGTTTAAGAATAAAAGATCTCCTACTAAGTTACATAAAGTGCTTCGCACAAGCCTGGCCCATCATAAATTCCCATTCCAGCAGAGCTCTTGCTCATTTCTTATTTGGAGGCTGCCAGCCTCATGGGAGAGAAAAGTACTCTTGTCAATAACTGGGAAATCCATCTGTAAAAAAGCAGAGTGGGCCATGGAAGTGGGAGTGTTTTTCCCTTTAACAAGTCATTAAAAGTCATCAGTGCTATGAATCAGACAATGGGGGGTTGGGAGAAAAAATTAAAACTCTAATTCTTAGGTTTAAAAATTCACTTATTCAATATAGTATTTTTTTCAAGTGCCTACCTGGACCGGGCAGGCATTATGGCAGGCAATTGTAGTCCAAAACCTCATTTTATTAATTTAACATGCTTTATATTTTTTCTATTTTTAAAGTAAAATTTGCAGATATGGTAACAATGCCAAATCACATTTTAATGAAGTGATAAAATACTGATAGAAATCATTCTCGCTACAAATTTGACAAAACAATAAAATTTCAAATAAAATTAAGGAAACCAATACAGAATTGTATTTGTTTTAAAAAAATTTTTTTTCATCCCACCAGTGTAACTCAATGGTTGAGCATTGACCTATGAACCAGAATGTCAAGGTTCAATTCCCAGTAGGAGGCATTTCAATATCCCTTTCCTTTCGTCTCTGAAATCAATAAAACAGTAATATTTGGGGGGAAAAGGTTTTCACTTAATTGGGTTCCCCCAAATTTCATATCTTGAAGTAATTTTTTATGTAATGGTTTTAGAGAGGGAAGACGGAAGAGAAAGACAAACATCGATTTGCTGTTCCACCCACTTATGTATTCACTAGTTAATTCCCTCATGTGCCCCAACTGGGATCAAAACCTCAACCCAGGCATATGGGGATGACGCTCCAACCAGCTGAGCTACCCAGCCAGGGCCAAAATACATATATTGATGTCCCAACTCCCAGTACTTCAGAATGTACCCTTTTTGAAGGTAAGGTCTTTAAAGAGATGATTAATTTAAAAGAAGGTTGTTAGGTTGGGGCCCTTAACCAGTATGACCAATGTCCTTACAAGAAGTAGAAACACCAGGGATATACATGCACAGAGAAAGACCATGTGAGGACACAGTGAGAAAGCAGCCACCTGCAAACCAAGGAGAGAGGCCTCAGGAGAAATCAAACTTGCAGACACTTTGATCTTGGACTTCAAGCCTTCAAACTGTAAGAAAATAAATTTCTGATCACTTGCAATATAACAAAAGAAATCTGGTAGGATGTGTTTCCTCAAATTAATAACCTTTTAAATTTACAAGTATTGAAATTAAAATAGAAATACCTATTCAGATTATTTTAAAAAAAAACACAGTTGAATTCTACATTCATTATGAACTTTGGGGAAATTATTTATTTCATTCTATGGGGTTTAGACAAGTAATTTCACATTTCAATTTAAGTCCAGAGTCAGAAAACATTTCTTGTACATTCCGTACTAATAATCATATATCAATGAAATATTTAAATACAGAGACTGATTTAAAAATGGATTTCTCTAAATAACATTTATCGGAAAACACACATAATACAATCCAAGTTCATATTTCATAGTTTCTGAATTTCCTCAGGAGTTCTGAAGGAGCATCCCCAGACCAGCGGAAATGAAGGTGCCAACTGTTCACATCTGAAAAACCTTTGAAGGAGAGAAGAGAAGATTTTTAAATCAGAGGTGGGAACAAAGGAGCCAGGCTTGTAATAGTAGGACAGCTTGCTGGTGAGATTTCACTGCAATAAGTGAAATGTAAGGGTAAGTCTTTGGGATGAATTATTAATATCTTACAGAAACTGATTAACTTGGGCAGGATGTTGAATTCTTGTGAACAGGATTTATTTTATATGGATGCGAGGATCTCACATGCTTAAACTTAATAATAAAAGGACATTTATAATGCCTCCAGTGGTGGTAATTTTGACAATTCACCTGCAAGGAAATTGGAAACAACTTTCAAACAGCTGCCAAAAATAAAAGGTCAATGGTAAAGGATTCTGGAAATACAAATAATGCATTCCATAAGAGTAAGATTTATTTTTTTAGAGTAATAAACAACTTTGTTGAAAATTAGATAAAAGGTCATTTTCCCTCTACTAGAGAAAATGTAAACTGACAAAACTATTCTGGGTAGGAAACTTGCAATATTTATCAAACTCATTAAAATGCATAAACATTTAACCTTACAATTGTACTTCTGAAAATTTATCTTAAGGAAATAATCATGGATGTGCTCAAGGGTTTTAACTATAAAATGTTTAACATGATACCTTTTATAAATGTTTTTAAAAATAAAAAAATAGCCCTGGCCTGTGTGACTCTCTTGGTTGAGTATCATCTCCATGCATTGCTAGGTCACCAGTTTAATTCCAGTCAGGGCACATTCCTGAGTTGCAGGCTCAATCTCCAGGAGGGGGCATGCAGGAGACAGCCAATCAATGTTTCTCTCTCTCCCTCTCCCTTCCTCTCTAAAAATATCCATAAAACATATTCAAAAAGAAAAAAAAACACCAAACATTCCAAGTATTCAGCAATAGAAAGTTGGTTAAAAGGCTGTGATATAGTCATGAACAATTTTTAATACTTACAGGCACATTAAAATGCTCATAACATATTGCTGTGACAAGTAGTTACAAAACAGTTTGATCCTGTTTTTTAAAAATATGTTTTTATTGATTTTAGAGAGAAGAAGGGAGAGGGAGAGAGATAGAAACATCAATGATGAGAGAGACTTCTCAACTGACTGCCTCCTGCACACCCCCTACTGGGGATCAAGCCAGCAACTTGGGCATGTGCCCTGACTGGAAATCAAACCATAATTTCCTGGTTCATAAGTTGACACTCAACCACTGAACCACAACAGCCGGACTCATTTTTAAATTTCTTATTTATGTGGGTATTTCTATAAGAAATGTTCAAAGTGTAGAAGGAATTACCCCTAATTGTTAATAGTAGTTATCCCTGGATAGCTGGAATAGATGTAATTTTCATTTTTCAATC